CACAAGACAGAGAAATCGAAGTTTGTTCTCCAGAGAAGAGGTTGATTTCACTTCAATTTTTTCATATTTTCTAAATATGTGGAAATGGCACAAAAAAAAACTTGAGAGCTGTAACCAAGACAACTGTAACAACATGAGTAGACAGCCACCAAGGTTTTTCAAGTCCCTCTCTTACTCCATTTTGCCAACCCAAACTTCCAGGTACATGACGGGACACCTTGCTTGTTTTTGTTGTTTGCGCTCCTCTGGCAGGTGGAGGGCAGTGATCCCTTCCCTTCTTCCCTCAATCTTTGAGACTAATGTAAGTAGAAGACATGGCACTGTAAATGTTCGAACATTTAAAATATTATACCACTTAAAAATAAGAAATATTACTTTTGTTACTAAGAGTTCATACTTATTATACCTGTGTCACCTTTCACACTATCGCTGTGATCATGAGCTATGGGCTTTGTAGATACAGGTCCCGGGGTGAATCGTGGTGCAGGGGCCCTTCTCTTTTTGACCACAGGGCGATGCACGAAGATGGTGGGTATAGCCTCTGCTCTCAGCCTAGTCTTGCCCTTTTTTGTCTTGACAAACTGGTCTGCATCAAAATGTGCCTGCGGAGTGACTTGAGGTTACTTCACACACAGAACAACTCAGTTTTGTCTGCCCACATACATATTCCATAGTGGTTGAATACACAGTATTAGGAAACACTTTATACTTACTGGACATGTTATACTCATTACATACTGTATATAAAATATGACCAAGAATGTGAGACAACTTTATAGAAATTCATATCACATCTGTTACTGATGCCATTTGTCATACTTTGTTAAACTCACAAATAATAAAGTTCCATAACTTCAGTTGGGAACAAAGACCACACCTTATCTCCCCAAGGCAATTTCCCATCCAATAGGTGTGCTATATAGGTGTGTATAACCCTTTCTCCTGTCTGTTTATCCCTCTTTCAGCACAAGAACCAGAGGGGGATTCAATGGAGCCTGAATACCTGCACTGAGACCCGCACCCTGCACCCTGAGTCTCAACTCTCAGTGTTTTTCAAGCCTTTCCCTGTTTTTTGTATTAAACAAAACATTAACTTTCCCAATGGTGTGGTTTTCGTTTTGTGAAAAAGTGCAAATGCAGTGTTTGTATATAAATCACATATTTTTTTGCTGTTGGTCGTGAAATTGCTCCTGCTTCCTCCGCTCTGTGTCAGTGGGGAAGCTGTACATTCATACTCCTTTCTCTGAGCGACTGGAGCATCCCCAGGCAGCACAGCAAACCATGGTGGCGACTAGGAGGCAGCACAGCAAACCATGGTGGCGACTAGGAGGCAGCACAGCAAACCATGGTGGCGACTAGGAGGCAGCACAGCAAACCATGGTGGTGACTAGGAGGCAGCACAGCAAACCAGGACAACAAGGAGGAAAAGGCACAGACAAACTGCATGATATGCTATTCAATGTTTATTGAATTCCATGTATTTGCAATGGATGTTCCTAAAACAACACATTTAACATCATCATCATCATCATCATCATGCTGCTGCTGCTAGTCCTTTGATAGTCACCTGTCGGTCTCCTGTCCTTTCTGAAAGCCATAAAGATGACATTAGTCATTTAGATAACTTGTGTCCTCAATTACCATGGTTACTGAAACTACCATGAATTTAAGAAAATGGTAGACATTAATCTAATCTGAATTGTAAAGCATTACTTTAGATCCCCTCCCTCTAAATATATCAATAAACATTAGAAAGTGATGCTCCTGACTACCATACAAGTTTAAGAAGATAATATTGGTTTTAAAGAATTCAAAGCTATACATAAACAGCAACAGGCTCTTTAACCAAGGCACTGTTAGCCTAACATGTAAACTCCTTGTTCACACTAATCCTAATATTATCACTTAATATGAGCAAATTCTATTTTATTTTAAAAACATTGATGTAAATACATACACATATAGATTTGTTGTATAAATATTGCAAATCAAAACCTTTATTCACTAATAATTACCAAAAATCGTAGTTCTATCTCCTGTTATCAATGCATTCACATTGCCCGCCATGAACTTCCGGGGAACGATCCTCTTCTACATGAACCACGTGACGATAACCGTTTTTGGACTTCCGTTGTCGTAACTCTTCTATTATATGGCTCTGACCCGCTCTATCGAAATCAGTCGGAAGTCGCAACGGCTCATTTCAAAATAAACGTGGATTTACGTAAAAAACTATTTTTTCGGGGTTCGGGTGTTTTGTTTGATTTTAAACAAACAAAGTCTTGGCTTTCAGAATATGAAACTTTTATTTCCAAAATCACACGATAAATACATGTTTGAAGCTTGTAAATGGACGAAGACAGGCACCTCTCCCTCACAATCTGCTCTTCCGCAGCGCCGCGCCCCCTTCCTCCGGCTATATTATGAATGTAAGAGCAGTGGTGTAGTGGGGATTTTTTTACTGGGGGGGGGGGACGCTATTTTAATTAGGTAATCCCAAATAATGCCACACAAGTGCGCACGTGCGAAGTGCACTCACAACACGGGCAGACAGGCCCAAAGAAACTACCGGCATGCTTAGTTGCTGTACTGCAAAAAGTAGACGGCGCTGCGCTCAACACACACACAGACTCAAAATCATGGACACACTGGCATATAAATTACATAAACAATTTATAGGCCTAAATTGCATAAACTACAGTATTGCAACTAAGCAGACGATGATCTGGACTTGAAATTATTCTGATTAGGCCTAGCCTACATTGCAAATAAGCAGACAGCGCTGCTTTTCTTACACACACACACACACACACACACACACACCTTGCGTTTTGAAGACTGATCAATCCGAAATGGATGAACAAACTTTGCAGCCCAGTTTCCCAGCTTTGCAGTCTATCCACGGGTAGCCTCTTGTTTCCTCCGCCACATCTCCTCCGTCCATACCTCTGGGAAAGGTGAGCTTGAGCTAGCCAGCGGAACGTTGCTAGCGCAGCTAACGTTGACGTTAGTGCTAGCATTATCCACGTCTTCAGGCGGCTCTTCTGGTGATGTAGGCCTATACTAGTAGCAACTTCACTTGTAGCTTCGGTGCTGCTAGCCTCTTTCTTCTTGTGAATTATATTCTTTTTAGAAAATAAGTCAAGTAAAAAATATTTGCCTGCCATTATAGAGCTTTTTCGTTAGCATTCTTGAGGGAAAGAGCTACCGCAAAATCGGCGGGCAGTGAGCTGGCTCGCCGTGGGTGTGTCAGTGACACACCCCCAGCTCGCCGCGGGGTCATGAGCGTGATGATGAATCATAATTCTTTAAGGAATTTAACGTTTTTATTTTGTATTATAATTACTGTGAAATGTATTATGTTTTTGTCATTATTACAACAAATACACACTTGCAACTGAGAACACTGGCAACGATTTTATATTTATTAGACTATTAAAAAAAAGATTGTGCTCCAAATAAGTGGGGGTACGGCGTACCCCCGCGTCCAACGCCCACTACACCACTGTGTAAGAGTATAGTAATCATAGATAACACGGAAGGGTCCGTTACAGTTTGTTTTCATCTGATTTCGATTAAACAAAGTCTTGGCTTTCAGAATATTAAACTTGTTTCGGCAAATTCAGATGATAAATACAGCTTTGAAGCTTGTAACGGCATAATTACAAGCGGAGAACGGAGTAACTTAACGTCACAGCAGGCATAACAACAGCCGGTGTTTCTCTTCCCCTCCAAATGAAAATATCTTCCCTCCGTAGTATTTGATCATTTGCTCCGCTAATAATCAATCAGATCGATGGATTCCAGAGAAGACGAAACTTTAAAGGCCTTTTTCTCAAAATGATGACTCGGTGACAGTCATTATATAATGTGAGATATTTCGCTTAATATTTGGAGTACAAAAACAATCCTGATATCATTAGAAAGCTAGGAATATCCTCTTTCCAACAGTGTATACAACTCAAAGTGTCTTCGGGTTAATGCGACTGATTTCGATGGAGCAGGTCACATCTGATTTTGTCAGAAATTGGGAGAAATATGACCCCAGGAGGAAACCGGGAGAGTTTCTGCAAGTTTTTTGCAATGAAATCGGGAGGATTGGCATTATGCATGTGATGTGTAATGTCCAGGGCCGCCCAGCCTCCCTACAGGCAGATCACGCAGACTGCGTGGGGCCTCACCTCGCGGAGGGAGCGTCATCTAAAGCCTCTTCTGCGGCGCAACTACAGTGTAAGCGCGCCACAGTTCCACTAGCTGAAAACGTTACTCACAAGTCAGTCTGATTCAAGTTTGAGTTCCTCCGTCCTGGACCTGCAGACTGTAGAGGTCAGTTCAGGATTATTTCTCTCATGCTGCGGTTCCGCCTGCTTGCGACCGGGAGTTCGACCACACTATGTCCGAGTCCGACTGACCATATGAAGAGAGCTTTCGATGTCTGATAAATAACACAATTATCTCACCTAAAGTGACAATTATTTAGCTTATCACAACAAAACGTTCATCCCACAGGCCATAAGACTAACACCTGAGCTTCCACCATTTGTATTGCTGTTTTTTGTTTGTCTTGTAAAGTGCACTGTTGAGGAACCTGCGATCTAAGTTGTTCATACATTACATAATTACACCGTCATGAAAATAAAATACTTTCTACTACTGATTCCTAGCTTTAGTAGATTTGAACTCAACCATTTCGATTTTCGACATGCAGTATTGTGTAGAGTTAAATGCTTGAAAATTAAAAGGACAACTTACACACAGATAACCAACTCTACATTTTCTATTGTGATGAACGCTTTCCCTGACAGCGGCACAAATCAAATCTTCAGTAAATATGCCAAATAAAAAAATAGTTGCACAATTATTTCTTTTTATGAGCTTCAGAGGCACACACACACACAGGTCCAGTATTCGTCCAAAAATAAACATCCAACTCAGACAGTGATAATTGTGACAATTTCACACTTTCCCTGGCAGCGGTATAAAGAGGCATTCACACGACAAATATGAACTTGAATTTATTGGTTTATTCACATTTAACTCAGCCACAGATCTATCTATACAAAGATTATTTCACAGCCCTAAAATAACTGTCTGCCAGAAATGTACATCCAATGCTTTAGCTTCTACTCATCGCATAGCTAGCAATTGAAACAGATCTAATAATTGCATACAAAGCTAGAGGCAATGGTTTGTTGTAAATATGACATTAAGCAGATACAGGTGTATGGTGTACAGGTAAAAGGCAACATTAGACAAGTTCAATTGCATAGTGCTGCTGTTTACTTCTGGGCAACTTCATCAAACTTGGGCTCTGGAAAATACAAAGTTGACATATTAACTCAAGTACAAGCACTCACAATTTTCACATGGTTTTAAATGACAAAATATTCAGATTTAACATTTTTCTGAATCCTGATCAAAGCCTTCCCAGTCCAGCCATTACATTTGAACATATCTTGTCAGCCTGATGGTGTGACATGTCTGGCTTCCATCAAACAACCTAAGAATGGACCTCTGCAGACCATGAAAATACACAATAACTTGCTGTAGCTTTGAGCTGTTCAGACTAAATGTACACCAATCGTGTATGTTTATTGCATGTCACACTGCGAGATGGGTCAAATAAAAATAATGGTTGCGATCTATGTCAGACTGTATATCAATATTAAGCATGCCATGTGCAATGACTGGGAGGTGAATCAAAACAAGTGGCTGCCAGTGTATGAGACCATCTGCACTGCTCGACTTATGTGTTGAGGATGAAGCAAACTAATAAACAGACTGAAAATAAGGCATGAGAAATTGCAACAATTTCAGGTATGGATCAATGAAATGTATTTTGTTGTTACACTTCAGTTTTACAACCCTTGATAGTGAGGAAACTAACAATGCAGAACACAAGCGTACTGCAGTGCATAGCTCATACAACTACAAGTTGTAATGCTTGACCAAGAGTTAGTAAAGTAGACTCACCTGTGAATTTGAACTCTGGAAAAGATGTAAGGTCCCCACCACCATAGAGTCTCTCAAGCTTTGACACCTCATCCGCCCAGGCCTTTTCATAATCTGATCCTGCATCCACTAACCCCTCCGTTGCCCTGAAGAAGGACAAATATCAGTTATCAGCAAAAATTCATTTCTCCCTCATTGAATGCATCTTATCCCCAGTGCAAAATCAGCACTAAGTTTAATGAAAGGCAAATGCACAATGGTGACTCAATTCTTCTTAGTTACATAGTTGTTGACATGTTCACAAGTTTGAATAGTTGTTTACCAGTTTTAGGAGTTTTAGTCAAGGGGAAACTTGCAGATTTGAAAGATGTATGTATTCAGCAGGAAGCAACGGCTGAGTGCCTAGGTGGTGGGGAGAGACTTACTGGCTTTTTGAAGAATATTGGCGTATGGAGTCCAGGAAGAGCTTCTGAATTGGGTCCATTTGAGCTGAGTAACAAACACAAGGATGAAAACAAACAAAAATAGAATGAATTTCAGCTCGGAAAAATACTCGTAAAACCAGGATCATCTATCTGGTCCATTTTGCTAGAACAAATAAACAACCAATTCGATTCAACCATAACCCGCATGCACATAAGAGCACCAAGATGGTAGACAGTACATGTAGACAGCTACAGGGGTCAGATAGGGAAGGACTTATAAAAAAGGTCAGTTGACAGGTTAAAGGTTGCTGTGATAGTCATGCTAGTTAACACATTTACAGAACTGCAGCAAGGTATAGGTTGCCAGCCGTCAATACTACACAAAACATTCAAACATAAATCTTCCATTGTGACTCCACAGTGTGCATTCTTGCATACAAGTGCTTTTACCATGAAAGAAAGTTTACATTTACACATGATCTATTAACAAGTAAACCCAACATGTAGGGATTGATAAGGTATTACTTTTACCATGTCAAATAAGTGGGAGAAGAGTAAGGGATGGAAGGAGGTTGAGGGAAAAAAGGGTTAGGGTTAGAAACACAAAACAACTTTCTCCTTCACCAGTGGAAACAGTACAGTTAGCATTATCTGTAGTCTTTAATAATGCATAGTCATGAAGAAAGTTCCATCAAACTACAGGCATTGCTGAGAATCATTGTGTTATCATGTTGGGACATCTTGGTAAACCTCTACAATTCTGAATAGAAAAAAAGGAAAAGAGTATGTAAGAGTAAATGAGTGCGGCAGGCAGACGTTAGTGTACGAAAAACAAAAACGTGATGGCATTCAGAAATAATGGCAAAAAGCTCAATGAAAAAGGGTGTGCAGCTAAGACATGCATCATTATTCAAGATGCCTGAAGCAGTGCAAACACACAAGAGGCGCGTTCACACCGCAGTACTTTTCCCACTTTAGTTCCGATATAGTTCAAAATGTCGCGTTCACACAAAAAGAGCCGGAACTAAAATGAGTTCATCAGAACCTTTTTAGCCCCTTTTCCGTCCCTGCTAGAGAGCAGGGACGGAAAAGGGGGTAAAAAGGTTCCTATGTCTGATTGGCTGGGCGGATTGCAAACCACGGCCCGTAAAACTCCCAAAAAGTTTTGTGAAGCCGCCATTTTATTATCCTCGCATTATTAGCATTAGCATTAGCCCAGCGCAGAAACGCAGAGAGACTAACTTATGGCAACACAAAATAAAACATGGGAGCGGTGGAGATGAGGAGGTGTCGGCGTTCTGGCGATTTACTCGGAAGGCTTCAGTAGAAGCTGCTGGGAGTCCCAGCAGCTTCTACTGAAGCCAGTCCCCAACTCCGGGGACTTCCGGCCGGGGACTTTGGGCGGCAGTATACGCCGTGAAGTGGTTTGCGGCCTGCCAGTAAACCCAAAGCAGAAGAAGAAGAAGAAGTGACGTCAGCGGCTTCATTTGCCTAATCCACCCCCAGGGACTTATTCCGGTGTGAACGCGATCTGTACTTAGTTCATGAGAACTAAAGAGTTCTCATGAACTAAGTTCTCATGAACCTTTGTGGGAAAAGTACTGCAGTGTGAATGCGCCTATTGAGTTGAACTACAGCTACATGAAAGATGACCCAGAAGTCAAATAGGACATGAGAAACAGGAAGGTAGTGTTTAAGGGATATGGGCCGAAAATCGATCAAGTAATACTAAGTACTATATGGAACAACCTGTGCACGGCTAGAACAAAATAAGTGAGTTTGTGATGTCCCGTATCTTTACAGCTTATCCTTACGCTCATCACAAACGACTATTGTATAGCCCTAGAAATGGGGATGAAACTGACAGCCGGTAGACTCCAGGGTCCACAGAGGAAAAGAGAAGGATTTTGTGAGAGGGGGAGGTTGTAATGTGTACCCTTAAACGGTTCAACTGGTTCAGCTGGGGCCTCCACCCGCAGCTCCTCTCCTGCAGCTTCAGCTACGACTGGAGCCGGGTCCACCAGCTCCTCTGTTCCCTCCACAGGGCCAGAACCTTCAGCTTCTACAGGGGCAGCTTCAGCCTCTGGAGCAGCTTCAGCCACAGGCGCAGCTTCTACAGGCGCAGCTTCAGCCACAGGCTCTGGAGCAGCTTCAGCCACAGGCGCAGCTTCTACAGGCGCAGCTTCAGCCACAGGCTCTGGAGCAGCTTCAGCCACAGGCGCAGCTTCTACAGGCGCAGCTTCAGCCACGGGCTCTGGAGCAGCTTCTACCGGGGCAGCTTCAGCCACGGGCTCTGGAGCAGCTTCTACTGGGGCAGCTTCAACAGGAACTTTAGCAGGAGGTTCTGTTGCTGCAGCATCTTCAACCACTGGGGCGGCAGCTTCAGCCGCTGGCACAGCCTCTACAATTACTTCTGAGACAGCCTCCACCATGGGCGCAGCTTCGACCACAGCTTCAAGCACGGGCGCCGCTTCGGCGACAGCTTCGACCACAGCTTCAACCACGGGCGCCGCGTCGGCGACAGCTTCGACCACAGCTTCAACCACGGGCGCCGCGTCGGCGACAGCTTCGACCACAGCTTCAAGCACGGGCGCCGCTTCGGCGACAGCTTCGACCACAGCTTCAACCACGGGCGCCGCGTCGGCGACAGCTTCGACCACGGGCGCCACGTCGGCGACAGCCTCGACTACCGCCGCAGCTTCTACCACGGGCGCCGCAGCTTCTACCACCGGGGTGGTTGCCACAGCCTCAAGTGCGGCAGCAGCGGGGGGGGGACCTGCAGCTGCTTTAGCAACAGCTTCTGCTGCTGCAACAGCTGCTGCTGGAGAAACTTCTTTCTTGGGAAGGTCATATGACTTGTGCTGGACAAGTTTCTCTAAATCGAAGAATGTTTTAGCCTGGTTTTTGTCTAGGACAAAGGAGGAGGGCAAGCACAAGATGCATTATTATTATTTTCTTTTTTACATGTGTATAGAGTTAATTGAAAAGAGGACCACCATTAACGCACATTTATCAAAATACAATCACTATACTGGAAAGTTGAACATCAAGGTTGCTTAGGTACTTAGCCAAAGTAATAAAGCAAAGGAAAATAAAAGCTTCAGGAAAAACTCTTGACATTAAAAGAACAAATATAACCTTGATCATAATAACTTTATAAAAAAAGATACATTGAGTATATTAAATCAAAAAAAGAATGTTATAGCGTTCGTAAGTGAAGGAATTGTCAACCCTGTAAAAGGAAATCCAGCGGTAAATGAATGAACTGTGGTGAAAGCATAGCGGATTGATTCAAAAAGGTACATGTTGTAAATGTGTGTAAATTGCTCGGTGACAGTTGAAGGGTGAATGCAACCTCGATATCCTCTGATGTAGAAACAGGGCCCAAACAGTGGTCAAAATGAGAAGATCTTGATGTGGCTTCATATCTTGAGACATGGAGACTGAAGTTTAGGCTGTAGAGCGCAGAAGAGGCTTTTGTTCACTTTTTGTTTTCTGTTGGCCGGATTGTTTGACCAAATCTGCATATTGCATGTTTATTGTCAAATATTTTTAACAAGACAAAGGCCGTCTAAAGTAGATTTACTTATTCATCAAAATGAAATTGTAACAGAGCATAGTTTCTTTAATCAGAAATCAATGCTTTCCACCTCGCAAACTGAGCATTTTCAAACCAAACCGCCATATATGCTAAATCCTGCTCAAGCATATGGTTGGGGTAGAAACAGGTAAATATGCTTTGTATTTACATTACTGATCTCCTAACCTGAAGCCATGCCATGAGCCATGTGGGCTGGAATCCCACTCCTGACCTTCAGTCTCTCCAGCAGTGCCACAAACTCAATAATGTCAAACACAAAAGCTAAAACCCTTCTTTTATTTTGTTACACTGGACTCTGTTCTGATCCGTTTTGGTTACCGAGTAGTATTCACAGCCTCCACTTTTTACTTAATGAGATGGAGTATATCTGGGTCTGACCTCTAAAACGGTTGCGTAATGTGGTCAGAGGGCAGTGGAAGATAACTCCTCTGTCACGATAACCTATGTTGGACTTTTAACAAAATACTCTATGTTGAGTCTGTCAGGGCTCACTAAAGAACATCATTTAGTCAAACAGTTATCTAGAAAAAGGCCAAGTTGAACACCAAATGCCTCAATAAGGATCAAAGGTTTCAACCTACAAGAGCTGCTTAAGGCTCGGCCACATGTTGTGACAGTGTCTATCTGAATCCTACCTGAGTTTTTCTTTTTTGTCGACTTCTTGGAACCCTCGGATTTTGTGCTAAAGGCTGCAGCTGCAGGCGCTCTCCTCAGAGTACTCCAGCTCTCAGCCTGCAAACACTGACACACACACACACACACACACACACACACACACACACACACACACACACACACACACACACACACACACACACACACACACACACACACACACACACACACACACACACACACACACACACACACACACACACACACACACACACACACACACACACACACACACACACACACACACCACACACACACACACACACACACACACACACACACACACACACACACACACACACACACACACACACACACACACACACACACACACACACACACACACACACACACACACACACACACACACACACACACACACACACACACACACACACACACACACACACACCACACACACACACACACACACACACACACACACACACACACACACACCACACACACACACACACCACACACACACACACACACACACCACACACACACACACACACACACACACACACACACACACACACACACCACACATTAAGCCAGATCCAGCTTTGTGAAAACATACATGTGGTCTGCAACACTAATATAGTTGTTGATTAATATGGACCTGGATCCCACACTCACTTTCACAGAACTTCTTACCACTCAGCATAGGACTATCAAAACTGTAGTTAGCACACCAGCTTAATCAGAAGCTGCGTGTGGTTATAATGCAGCTGTGCGATTAGTCAAACAAGAATACTTGTCAAAACAAGTAAAGGATCAGCTAAATTGAAACTAAATGAGCACTAAACTTACTTTCAATTAATTTTCATAATATGATGGAAATGTACTACATAATATCAGCTTTACCCTTACCTTAGTCTTTCTAGTGACAAGGTCAAGCAGATTTGGCCATTTCTTTATCAACTTACACCATTCCACATTAGTTTGGCACATCCAGCCAAGACCTTGCATTGTGAAACAACTTACATTTGAACAAAATCTGTTTTGAAGTCTATGAAAACTGAGAGTCCAGGAAGGCTTCTAATTTCCCCTCCTCGACTCCTCGGTCCTCTGGTAGTGACCCGAAAATGGATTTCAGCGCGCCATGTTGAAGGACATCTCATTTCTCTAAAAGCACTTCGAGGACCGAGCATCGATATATCCAGTCTCTGATTGTGTTACGTACTTATGAGTGCTCTCATACTTCTTTGATACTGAAATTGTGTGTATATATATATATTATACCGCACTGTGAATGAATCAAAGTAAATATAGAAGTGGTCATGAACACATCTGTCCATCAGACAGAGTACTGCTGTGTCTCCTGTCATCATTAATGGACGTGTCTTTAAAATGACCGCTCAGAGGAGAGGAGTTCTCATTTCTCTAACCGCCTGCTGCTTCCCCTCCTCTCTCCTCGGTTCCCCTCCTTGGCTCCTCCGCTCGCATCTCCTGTGGGCGGCACTAAGTCTCGAGGATAGGAGTCGAGGAGGGGAAATTAGAGAATTGAGAAGCCTTCCAAGTCTGCAGCAGGTTGCACTAACACCTCAGATATGATGCCCTCTAGTGGAAATAAAGGTGAGGTCTGCAGGACACCTCAGCTGGGTTGAAGACACAACGAAACACAAACCATTCTTACACCTTAAACAGCTGCTAAGCTTACAACAGAGTGTCTCTGTTGGAACTCTGTTCTAATACTGCAATCCATTCAAGTGGATTAATATCTTATATAGTGGATTGTTCACTTGACAATTAAATGTGTTCCAACTTTAAGATTCCCAATCCCATGTGTTCTCACATCATGAAAATCTTAGTCTCTCTTTGGGAGACCACTTGGGTGATTGGAGGTTACATAACAACACGCAAGAAATGACAGTACCTGCTGAGAAACAGCCAAGCTCTGCGTGTGTTTCTAGTGTCGAGTAGTTACCGAGGCGGATCCATAATCATTACATTTCTTAAGTACCACATTCATTCCAACTCAAATATTAACTACCAAGTTAAACCATAACATACCTTTTCCTTTCCAGGGTTGTAATCTTGTTATCACTGAGGCAAATGGTAAGGTTGGAGTGACTATTACATTTTGTTTTAGGAAGTAGACTTCTCATTTCAAACTGCACCACAACAAATGAACTTTCTTGTGCATTATCAGGGTATATGCAGGCATCCTGAGTGAAATCAGACCCTTTCCATACATTTTAAGACGTCATCGCCACTTCGAGTTTTAACCGGTTACATTTGCGACTAGTGTTGGGTTTAACGCGTTATAAAAGTAACGGAGTTACAGTAATATATTACTTTTTGCTGTAACGCATTACTAATGAAATGTTACAATGCTCAGTAACGCAGTTACAACACATTTTAACCCGAAATGAAATGGTGTTTTGTTTTTTAAGAATGTACTAACATAGCGAGACATTCCGACACCAGACACATTGTGCGGGTAGATTAGTAAACCTGGTGTTTACCCTTCAGGCTTCGCGTCAGGATCGAAAAATACAAACAACAAATTGTGTCAGGTGCGCGTGACCTGCTCCGCTGCGCGTGCATCATTTCCAAAGTGCTTCCACAGCAGTGACACACACCTGTGGATAATCATTTATACGAACATGGTTAAAGCAACCATCACTAAACGCCAGCAACACTGCATCTACTGCAGACCGTAGCAACAGGTCAGATGGGGACATCACGTGACCCTCCGTCGTGGACACTAGTTTACTCCCGCCTGACTCGCCGCCCTCGCCCCCGGAGCAGCAGTCTTCGTCGCCCGAAACTACGCCGCCCCTCTGCGGCCCGCAGGTGCCAGGATACCACGGCAACACAGAGCCTGCCCAGGTGTATCTAAACAAGTACCCGCCTGTACAGTGGGGTTAGGCCGTCATCTTGCAGCTCGTGGTATACAAATAGACAATGGAATATTCATGTGAAAATAGTGCCATATTCTGCCATGCCTGTAGAAATGTTGGGTCAAACATAATGCATACAATAGCACAGATGCCTTCACCACGAATGGCTACACAAAGATCTCATATGATATCCCAAGCTTATCAACAAGCTAATGTTGCAGCTGAAATGTTCTCCAGGTCACAAAGTCAACCTCACATGATGATGTGATACCAGTTTTCAAGCACAGTAAATATTCTCTTCTCAGAGTATATGATGGGACCAAAGTGATGATTTATTACATGGTTTTAATAATACTTTTGCTTTTCAATGTTTGCCATTTCAAACCATGAGCTGGTTCAAATCATATGTGCCTTGATTTACAATATGTTCTCATTTGTTTTATCAGTACAGCTTTGAAGCTGTTGTGCTTTTCTTTGCCATAGTCCACTTTGGACTATATGAGATATTTCAGGATTGCACTTTTAACTCACTTGAAATGTTCTCACTTGCTTGGTTTCAAAACATAACAAAGGCCATAATCTGTTCATTGGGACCATCAATGCTATTTTTCATTGCTGTTGCCGGCCACTATTGCTCATGTAAACCTACTACTGCTGCGCCCCCTGTAACCTCAGAGGCACCCCAAGTCATTTTGTTCTGGAGCCGGGCCTGTACACGGCCATATACTAAACACACTACAGAGCCCATTCCGTGTCCTGTTAGTGTTTACTTCCTGTCTGCCTTCTTCTGGTGATCTATCTGACGTCCAGCGCTCCGTCTTTTAACCTCTTTTCCTTTCTCTTTCTGGATCCTCCTTAGCGACCTTCATTATAGTCCTTGACAGTGGTCTGTACTGGATTAACAACGTGTCACATGTTAAGAAGTTACAATCAGAATCGAGTATTCAACTAAGCCGTGTAATGCAAGTTGTTAGTAGCCTTAAGGGCCTACACAGTTGTTATGCTATACCACATTGCCCTTCACTGGATGTAGAATGAGCTGCACTAAACTACATTTCAGCATTTAAAACACCTAGCCATTCTTTTGAGGTTATTTTGGTGAAAGTAACTAAAAAGTAACTAAAAAGTACCGTAACTCATTACATTTCAGAGACAGTAATATTGTAATGTAACTTATTACTTTCAAAAGAGAGTAATAAGTAATATATTACATTTTGGAAGTAACTTGCCCAAAACTGTTTGCGACACACTTTACATAACATTGACTATATACAGTATTGATTGTCCTTCTTCCTTATCTTCCAACCATTTGGACGCAAACTTGCATTTCCCCGTAACGATGTTAACAACCGGCGTAAACGGACCTTCGCGCGCTATCAAGCAGTGAGCGTGCGATGTCCTTTTCAAATGACGTCAAATCCAACGGGATGCCATAAATATACTACACAGAATCACACTACACACCTACGCAATGATTACATTCAGGTAAACTTTAGAACAGTGGTTCTCAACTGGTGGGTCGCGACCCAAAAGTGGGTCGCGGACCCCCTTCGAGTGGAGATGTGAGTGAAGAAAAAACTCAAGTCAAACTTTTATTTTGAAGGCCCGATTTTCTAACGCTGTGCATGCAGTAGGCGTTGGACTGGAAGTACCGGAGACCATAAACGGTTTTGAAAACTTCTGTCACGTAGTGATCATCTTCTCAATAAAACATCTTTGCTAATGTTTTTTCGAGTCTTCTGGCCAATCAGAATCAAGATTGTTGCCGGAAGTCCCTACGGAGAATAACTTTGCGGTAGAACTACTCTTTATCCATGGGTACAACTTGAAGCCCCTCACTGCAGTGCGCAGTACCTCAAGATGGGCGGGAGCTCAACATGGGCGGAGCCTCAACGCCCCTCCTTCTCATCCTTTGAGGCACGTGACGAGCTTCACAGATGACGCGTTACATCCTGTTTCCGGGGTAGCAGTTCTGTTCTGTTAATCATGTCGTCAGAGTAAGATGGAGGTAAGTAATCCCTGAATAAATTAACTATTTGTTTTTGCTGCGGTTTAAAATGTGTTGATTTGAAGTCTCACTTATTTGCTGTCAAATGTGCGCTGTCGCTACTAGGGCGTGCATGTCCTAGTGATGCAGAAACTAACTACATTTAATAACTATAACTACAAATTACATTTGTGTTGCTTCAAAATAGTAGGATTGCTGTATAAGCA